ATACTGTACATTAGCTGTGAAAGAGGGTTTTATCCCCCAGCCTGAAAAATCCCAAGTATCTGGATAATTTGACGAATTGCTAATACCACTGTGACAGTTTAATCGCAACAGCTTCCTTGGAGCTTGTTTCCATTGTGGCCTTTGCTGCTAAGCTTCCAGCCGGGACGTGAAGGTACTGCAGAGAGGATGGGTGCAGAGTGCTCCCGGGATCCCAGGGAGGGCTCGCATGGCATTTTCCCTTTGAGATCCCTCTTAAAACACTTGCCCAGCTGTACACACAGGCTGCACTATGTATTGACAGAAGCTAAATAACACCTCACAGTCTAAGACCATCTGGCTGTGTGGTGTTTTGCAAAGAAAACCAGCAATATATCAGTACAAAATGAAAGGCTTTTGGTTTCCTTTCCAGGGCATACACATCACATCCACCTTGCCAGCCCAGATTGCAGTAGAGATCCACATGCATTACACACGGGCCATATTACACCCAGTGAAATTCATTTACAATGAACAGACTTCAAAGTCTAGAAGGAGCCGTTATGATTATTACCATAGATTAAATAATTAATTTAGATTAACAGAAGAATGCCTGAAGATAACCTGATTATAGGAAAAAAAAACCTGTTTCTGAAAGCAGAGAGCTCTAGGAAATATGCAAAACAAGACGCACTGCCTGGAAGATGCAGCTTCACTGATGCACACGAGGAGTAAAGCACCCGTGAGCTGCTGGGAATGTACTGAATTCCTCATTACTTGAAATCTTGGGTTTGGAAGTTTATCCAAACCATCTGCTCTAGACAGAGGAGAAGGAACTGGCATGCGCTTTCTGCCCCACAGCAGAGAGACTCCCAGGGCAGCGACGGGGTTTCACTCCAAAAGTCCAATGCCCCGGCAGGTCAGAAACCGATATTTGCAAGGAAATAAAAACAAATACTGTCTCCACATCATGGGACGCTTGCAACAGGGCCGGGAGGAAAAGATGAGGGTGAGAGGCCTGAGGTTCAGCACGCATTGAGTCGTGTATGTGAGAAACATAAGCAAATACAGAAAAATTGGCAGGAGGGAAAAAACCAACAACCCTGTGCTCTGCAGCAATTCCCGTGACCTGTGGGCTCCAGTCATTAATGCCGCAAACCCACTGCCTGGCGCTCAGCAAGTGAGCTCTCCTGACTAGCAATTTGAATGAGCCTTCCCGTAATAAAAATGCTTGTGGGAATGGTTGTGTGGGCACCCCTGGGGCCACAGGGCTTCTCCCAGCAAGCAGCTCCAGGCCATCAGACACCCACCCACCACCCACCAGCGGCATCGCGGCACTGCCGACTGCGCATCTTCCATGCCAAATGCCACCCTGCAGCAGGACGCCACACAGCCCACGGTCCATCCCCTCCCGCTGCTGGTTCAGTTTTTTGGTCCGAAGGTTTTCTTTCTTGCCAGCCTACGTGGCAAGAGGAACCTCCAGCCCAACTTGCACAACTCAAACTAAGAGCAATCGGTGTCATTGATGGATGCTGGGAGCTTCAGATGGGAGCTGAATGCTGGGGTTTAAACCTAATGAGTCTGCAGAGGCAACGCAGGGGGCTAAGGATCGGCACTGCTCCCTTTATCTTTCTACTGCGTGCTTCAAACTTACAGAACTAAAGATACCAACCCTGGGATGAGCTACTGGCTCATCACAAAATGCAAGAGAAAGGGGACCATACCTTGCATGCCACAGGTTTCCTGTGGAGCCAGTGGCCTCCTGCCTTGCTCTGTCCCATGCTCGGGCGCCTGGCGCTTGTATATCCTGTGGGGCTGCGCTGCTCCATCCTCTCGAAAGCTGGTGGACACTGGTTCGATGAAATAGTCCTCGTTCATGAGCCGAAACACGCCTTTCTGGCAGGGAGAGACAAAGCTGTCACCATGAAGCTATCTGCATCTAGCACAGACTCACACTGAAGAACCTGGGCATGGGAGAGGGTTTGCAAAATTTTCCAGGAAGAAACAGGTCTTCTCTAAAGAAATTGTTTTTATGGATATTTTGAGCTCTAAACTCCCAGACAAAAGAGAACTAGCCAGCATGGAGTGATCATTAAGAAAGCAAAAAGCTAAAGAGATCCCATCACAAAGTGCAGACGGGTGGTGAACCCAATGGGTGTCTGACAGTGAGGAGCTCAGGGACTGCACGGATGCTGAGACAGAGAAATGCCTTCTCCAGAGAACCAGAGCACACCAGGAATAGGCACATATATGGTCTCAGACTGTGCTCCCCCCTCTGTGCTCACGCCACCTCTCTCTGACCTTCCTGGAGATGCTCCGGGGAGTCCAGGCAGCCAGCCCAAAGGGCGGCTTTGACCATAGTGCAGCACCAGTGTTTGGAGTAAGTGTTGCACAAATGGAGGTGTTTTCCCAAGGATATCCTCGTCAGATGCAGCCAGTTGCTTCTGGCCTTTTGCACTGCCTAAGCACCACCATTGTGAACCATCAGGTTACAGACTTCCCGCGGTCAAAGACCAGAAAACCTCCAGGGAAGAGGAAGAAGAACCTGCAGGAGCACTTGATCATGGCAGGAACTCCAATCAAAGAAAGTCAGTCCCAGGAGCATGGCCCCTGCATGCAACAACGGGAGGATGTGTTATTGGCATTTCTCCTTTAGCAGGAAATGACACCCTAAAACTTTCTTTGGTTAATTACGACCCCCCTGACCTGGCCCAGCTGCAACACATCGTTATGGACTCACCCAGGACTCCTCAGCCTCCACGCTGCATCTCAAGAACACACAGCTGCATTCGCTGCATAGGAAGCTCTTTGCATGGGCAGCTTCATCCCAAGGAATGGGAACTCCTGCGGGAGTCTGCAGCGTCATTCAGCCGGTCAGGGTGCTGCCGTGAGGAGTGTTTTGTAAATGTATTTTGCGCCGTAAGACAACTCCATCTGCTCTTGGTTGCTTCAGAGCAGCCTTACAGTGTCTGGAGCAGGCTGAGGTGTCCTACACTTACTCGGGAGCCTGTTCATACTCAGCTTTGCTTACCATGCTTTTGCTCTGACATGTTTATTGCTTTCACATCCCAGGACAGGGCAGGGACAAAGAGAGAAGATCAAAACATGCCTCTACAACTGTTTCCAACGTTTCCAAGATACAACAGGACTGAGCCTACTAGTGATGCTTTCTCACCGCTCATGCAGTGCTGGGGAAGAGAAAACGGCTTCCTCCCTAATTAGCTCCTTGCAAATGTAAAATAACAAGGAGGAAACACCATGGGGATAGGGAAGGAAGGGAAGGAGGCCACAGATACAATTCCTTCTCTGTTTCCTGATGCAGGTTGTTCTGAGCCAGGAAGGGAACAGAGATCTCTGCCCCGGCTGAAATCTGCCCAGGGTGCCCTGCACAGGGGCCACGTTTCATCATCAGTTGGTTCTGTAGTAGCACTGAGTGGCATTTGCTGCCCGTGGGAAGGTCCGGTTCTCTCTGTTTAAAACACACCTGGTTAACCTTTCTGCACCTTGTGTGTCCCAGTTCACCCCAGTAAGCAGTGCCAGCATCCCTAACCCCTGTCTCCTGCTCCCTCTCCATGGTCTGCAACAAGAGTGAGAAATAGCCTTGGAGAAGATGAAATTGCACTGGCAAAACTACCCAAGAGAAAGCAGAACCCAGCTTTTACAACTCTATTTTATTTTAAAATCATTGACAGGAGGAATTTAAAGTCTTATAGAAGTGTTGTAAGAAAGGCGAAGCCTGGTCACGGGAACAGGGATCTCGGGGGTTGGCCAAGGGTGTCAGACAAGGTACAATTACTGTGTGCTACACCAGTAGCAAATGCTGGAGCAGGGGCTGCACCAACGACAGTAATGGGGAACTCGGCCCTTCGAGGTGCTGATGTGATTTGGTTCAACACGTGAGGCTGCCACAAGCAGGAATTTTGGGACAGCCCATCTGTGCTTTACAACTGGGAATGGCAGAGTGCTTTCAATGCAGCAACGCTGGGCTTGAAATACAAGGTATCACCACCATATTACATGTATAAATGTAATATACTGCCCTAGCCTATAGCTCCATGCTTTCCCACACCAGTAATATGTTCCTTGTTTACACCCTGTGATACTGACCATGCGTACAAGTGGCGCATGAGTAATTCCCTGTAATGAAGCAATAGCTCAGAATACACTTTACTCTCCATAATAATTATGAAACATGCAGCACATTGCTAAGTGCAGTTTTCCGTGGTTTAGTATCTGTCTGACAAAAAGCCATGGTTATTTTAAGACTGAGTAGAGAAGATTTAAAGCAACTTCAGGCTGACTTTTGCTCACCACTTACAGTTTATGGGCTGCAGACCCTCTCGCAACACTGTGCTAATGCCTTTTGTAAGCTAACAGTTTTTTCTGCTTCTTAAAAAGTAATATTAAGCCGTAGCATGTGCATGATACTGCTCATTTTCAACACACTTTACAGACCTTAATGATGGGATTCACCAAACACCACTATGAAATGGGTGTTTTCAGGTGACACATTATGTGGATGACAGATTATTTAACGAATAACTTCCTTATTTGCTCTCCCATCTGTGGTTAATTCACAAAGAGAAGTTTAATTCTCTTAACCAGAATGTATTTCAAAAGACCGGGGTGAACATCCTTCAGCCCATTCGCTATTAGCAGCTTGGTTTTTCCTGACTCACACTGCAAGACTGAGATTTCTAAGTCTGATGGCAGATTGCAGCTCACTGGCAGGATGAGGCCACGCAAACATTCCAAGAACCATCATATATTACCGGGGGTGTCCATGCGTAAGTAGACATTCACAGGAGCGTTCACGACACTTTCTACTTCTGTGTACACTGCAGCCATCAGTGCTTCTCTCATACAAACATTCACAGAAAAATGAATCAAAAGATTGTAGGTTCCCCCCAGGTGCATCAGTCTATTTTTTATTGAAATGATGCACCTGGCTATTTTCTGCAGCCTTCATCCCCCTGGAGACAGGGGTGCTGCATGAAGTGCAGGGTGCTGAGCACCCTTAGCTGCTGTTAAATTTAGTAGGAAAAGAGCAACCAACACCTTCCAGGACGTGCCCAGCTCCAGTCCTGCCAGTCCTGCCCTGCCATCAGCCACGGCGGGGAAGGTCTGAGCTCTCTTCTTGCAGCTTCAGGTGATGGTGAAATGCTCCCCACTGCACACCTGTGCACTGCACTCCTCTCCTTGAAATCCAGCAGCACACTCTTGCGCCTCCAGGCAAAGCGCAGTGATTTGGGTGGCCTCTGCAAACCTTCCATTTAAAAGCCACCCTGCTCTACCAGGCTAACTCAGCGTACAGACACACACTGCCTTTATTTAAACACAGGAAGCTTAAAATGCAAACACAGCCCCCAGCTGAACAAAGCTACCTGCGGCAGCCAGCGGACCGATGATCTGATGGTGTTATCGTCCCTCCAAACCCAGAGATGCTGGGCGTGAGCACTGCTGGTGATCCCTCCCTCTGCAGCGGTGCCTCCCTCTGCCCCGTGCCTGTGCTGGGGACGCGGGGGGTTTTCCCGGGGTCAGCCCCTGAAAAGAGAACCCCCCCTACACCCACCACCTCCATGAAACCCCAGCACCTCTGTCATCCCATGGCCGCTGCTCAGGAACGGGGGTCTGCACATCATGGGAGCTACCAAGTTATATGGTAACACTCCTGCAAACCCCCAAGACGTTTTAAACCCCGTGGGGACCTGGTACCTGCGCTAGCTGGATGCCAGCTAATGCGGATACACACATTTATGCTGAAGGCCTGAATTTGCCTTGCTGAGTGCCGACACTAGAGTCTTATCACTCTTACAGGTCACTATCGCCTTCGAAAATATTTGCAGTGGAATAAGGCAGCGGAGGTGTTCACAAAACATAAAGTAATTTCACTATACATGAGCCGCGTTATCATAAATACCTCCAGGCTTCAAACACCTTGTTTTCAGATGTGTTTCCCATAATCCCACGTTTATGTACTAGAAGGCGGAGGCAATACGAGAATTGCTCTCTTTGGGAATTTGGACACAAACAAGTAAACACAGTCCCGGAGAGTTCCCAAACCACTGGAATCCATGGGAAATTTACAGTCAGCTCATCCACGGCCACATCAAACCTACGCAGTGAGATCCTGACTCTGCTGCTGTCGGGAGGAGTTTTGCTATTGCTTTAGCAGAAAAAAGGATTTCACACGGCTTCTGCTATTTCCTTATTGATTAAAGACCTCTGTACTTACCAGGCCGTCACACGTGCTGAGCGCGGCCAGGCCTCCCTTCAGCGCCCGGCTCCGAACCTCCCCGATCATATGGCAGGAGTTGTAAGCGTGAGACTGGATCTTGGCGTTAGCGATCCCCCCGTATCGCCTCTCGCTGAGGAACCCGGGTGCCAGGAGGTTGCTGTTGAGGCTCAGGTTGAATTTCAGGGGTTGTCCTTTGTAATGCAGTTCATAGAACGTGAGAAACTTGCTCCTGGAGGAAGGAGACCTTCGGTGAAGTGCTCGGTGGGACAAATCGTAGGACAGAAACAATCCGCTCTCGTCAACCTTGATGGGATGAACAATGTCGCTGCTGGAGTACGGCAGAGCAGGCTCTGGGAAGAAAGGGGTTCAATGGTTAGCTTTAGGGTTCATCACCTCTCCTCTCCCACCCCTTCAGCTGGATGCCAAACTCCCAAGGCAGCCCAGTGGGGTGAGGTGCCTGAATACCAATTGGATCTGGTAACTGGCGTTCACTGCCGCTGCCGAAGGCACGGCAGGGAGCAGGGAAAGGCAGGAACCTCAGGCGCAGGGGGCCCCCCGCTGCCCCTCCTGCCCTCGGGGGGTCAGGCGCTGGGATTTCCCCTGGGAGAGGGTTAAGGTCAGGGTTAGGGTGGGGAGGGATGGAGGTGGGTAAGGGGGGGCCGTGCAGCTCCGGGGCTCTGCTCCGGCCGGGACCGATCCCGGCTTCCACGCACACGTTCCCGCTGTTTAATTACAGCTGCCGGGAAAAAAAAACAAACCAACCAACCAACAACCCCCGCTAAATCCCAGTTTTGAAACGGTGTTTGGAAGCCGTGCAGCAGATCGCGGGGGGCAGAGCACCCCCGGGTACTGAGCGCCCCGGAGCTTCCCCAGCTGGGTACGCA